TAATGATGGCACAACACTCTACTGGATAGTCACTACTGTAATTTACTCAATCAGTTTTCTACTGTTGGACTTTAAGATTGTGAAGCATCGATTTTGCCCGTATTTTACATTATTTCTTTAGGACAGATTCCCAGTAGTGGAATTAGAGGATCAGAGGATATAAACGTTTTTAAAGCTCCCGATAGATACTGCCAAATTGCTTTTCAGAAAACTGTCGCCAGTCTACACTTCCAACATTGCCAGTGCGTTTTTCTACCAATAGAGATCTGTCTAAAGGATAATAAAATTTAAATGAAACATGCAGTCCTCAAATTATTAATGCCTGGAGAGGTATCAAGACCAGAGCACAAAGGCATGTGGCAACGGTCATACCTATTTCCAGGTATGCAGTTAACAATGGGTTACTGTGTGCACACAGAACAGAAATTTTGCAAGAGTGAAGAGTAATATAATTAGATTTCAAATCATCTAATCCAAGGCCTGTGTCTATTTTGTTCACTGCTGTATCCTGGCACACAAGATAGCGTCTGGCACATACAGCCACTCAATAAAAATTTGTTGAGTGAATTAACACAGAATCTTCTTTCAGATGTGATCTTTCACCAGCTGTAGGGTTTAGTTACTCCTGAATTCATAGGAAACATGACTGGCTGGATCAGACACTCTTGTAAAGGTCTGTTCAATGCTGAGATTGTATTACAACTTTGGAAAATCAGTTTAAATAAAGGTGACACAATAAACAGCTCTCTAGGAGAAAAACCAAATATATTTACCTAAAAGGACGCATCTCAGCACCAGTTGCAAGGTGCAACTACACATATGTATCTGTAACACATATGTATATTTGCAAGCATGCAAAAAATACACTTCAGTGAGTTTTTTCATCTCCGTAGTATACCCTTTAATAGGCAGTAACATAAGGTTGTTCAAATGCTGCCCATGGGCAAAGCATTTTTGGGACTACCTTCAGTTCATTCTATTATTGTTGGTTGCAACTTGGCATCAGTTTCAGTGTTGTCAACACTGGTTTTGATGTTAGGGAATAATATAGGTGGTTTTATAATATTTTCAGTCAAAAAACAAGCACAAGCCGGGCGCAGTGGCTCACGCCCGTAATCCCAGCACTTTGGGAGGCTGAGGTGGGTGGATCACGAGGTCAAGAGATCGAGACCATCCTGGTCAACATGGTGAAACCCCCATCTCTACTAAAAATACAAAAAATTAGCTGGGCATGGTGGCGTGTGCCTGTAATCCCAGCTACTCAGGAGGCTGAGGCAGGAGAATTGCCTGAACCCAGGAGGCGGAGGTTGCGGTGAGCCAAGATCGCGCCGTTGCACTCCAGCCTGGGTAACAAGAGTGAAACTCCGTCTCAAAAAAAAAAAAAAAAGCACAAAATTTGTTTTGTGAACCAGAATATGTTCAAGGTAAAATAGCCAATCATTCAGCTTTAGTTTACTCTCCTGGCTCTATAGATTCCTTCCAATATTCCATAATTTCCTTTTTTTGTTTGTTTGAGACAGGGTCTCACTCTGTCGCCCAGGCTGTAGTGCAGTAGCATGATTATGGCTCACTGCAGCCTGGACCTCCAGGGCTCAAGTGATCCTCCTGCCTCAGCCCCACAAGTAGCTGGGACTACAGGTAAGTGTCACCATGCCAGGCTAATTATTGTATTTTTTTTGTAGAGATGGGGGTTTCACCATGTTGCCCAGGTTGGTCTTGAACTTCAGGCCTCAAGTAATCTGCCTGCCTCAGCCTCCCAGAGTGCTAGGATTACAGACGTGAACTCTTGTGCCTAGGCCACAATTTCTACATAATAAATTGTTAGACACTGCCAGATCAATGTGGCATTAATAATGTTATTGATGGGAAATAATCAATCATCCATCGTTTTTATGCATACAATAAAACAGGGTTTGTATTGGCCTATGGGCCAATTCTGTCCTGCCATCTGTTTTTCTATGGCCTAAAAGCTAAAAATTTCTTTTCAACATTTTTTTTTTTTTTAGATGGAATCTTGCTCTGTTGCCCAGGCTGGAGTGCAGTGGTGAGATCTCAGATCACTGCAGCCTTTGCCTCCTGGGTAGTGGAATTACAGGCACACGTCACCACACCCTGCTAATTTTTGTATTTTTACTAGAGATAAGGTTTTACCATGTTAGCCAGGCTGGTCTCAAACTCCTGACCTCAGGTAATCCGCCTGCCTCAGCCTCCCAAAGTGCTGGGATTACAAGCGTGAGCCACCATTCCTGGCCTCTTTTTAACATTTTTAAATGGATTTTTTAAAAAATCAAAATAGTATTTTGTAAAAACCATATAAAATTCAAATTCCAGTATCCATTTATAAAGTTTTATTGGAAACAGCCATGCTCACCCGTTTCTGTATCAGCTATGTCTGCTTTTACATTAAAATACTGAGTACTGGCAAAAGAGACCATATGGCCCATAAAGACTCCTTTACAGAAGTCTGCTGGCCCTTGGGCTATACCCAAGTGAGTCCCTGGAGGTACTATAGCTCCCCAATACAGATTTTTTTTGTTTCTGGATATTAATACAAGGAGAGGGGTGATACAACTAGGATGGCGTTTGCAAGAATCTGACAAGGGAGATGCTGAAGAACATAAATACATGATGGTTGTTTCAGAAAAGATATAAACGTCTGGTAAAATCTGGGTGGGCTGATTGAAGAATAAGCAATGGGAGAAGGCAGGATATCATAGTTTAGCAGCAAAGGTAGGCTCTTATTGAGTCAAATGGGACTCTGCTGAGACCCAATACCAAATTGCCTAGTGAAACTTGCTGGTGATGATGTCTGCAAATAGCAGGCAAGCTGAGCAGCATTTGTAATGTAATGACAGACAATTCCCCAATAGTATCCCATTCCTTTATTAGGTGTCCTCAAGTCATTTAGCATCCATATTTATCCAGGCATTTCCAAAGGCAAGTATAGACTTTGACTAAAAAATGGATCTGAGAGAAAGGTTCTGGGAAGGAGGCCCCAGGTAAACATTCTTCCCAAATGATAACATTTCATTGAAGACTCAATCAGGGTCAGAATTCAGAAGACAGCAGAACCATCCACATGTTTTTCTAACTTACAGATTCGGTGAACATTTTATTCTTTCTCTTTTTGATCAATACTAGCGGGGCAAATGGAGCAAGGTAGGGTGAGGTGATGAAAGGGGAGAATTGCCTAAAATCAGTGATAGGATGACCTGCCCCAGAAGGCATGTATTTCTTTCTCAGCAGTGGCATAAAACATTCTATGTGAACTCTGAATTAGGATGGGCGTGGGGGTGTGGAAAAGATCAACCTAAGAGCCAAACAGAGTCATTGACCAATTGTGTTAAGCTTGAGAAAGTTTGCACATGGCCAGCTCTCTTCCTGACATCCCACAGAAAGCCAGGCTTGATCTTCTGTGGTTAGGTGGAGCTCCTCCTGCCAGGGAAAATACAGTTGCTAGGATAATGGGCTTTGGATGTTACAGCTCTGACAAAGTTTCATGACTCCTGGTACCAGAGGTAACCAAATTGCCTCCTTGAGAAACTGCTGACACTGGGTGCCTCTGGGAAGTGCAACTGATGGTGCTTATGGGTGAGAGGGAGCTTTCCCTGCCCATGCCCCTTACAAAAAACAAATCAACACATATGCCCCCATGTTGCCCCACCATGCTTCTTGAGGATAAGAAGGCAATCTGGGGCCAGGGCTAGAGTAGACAATTTCCTTACTCAGCAGCTGAAGTGGGGAGCTGGAGGAAGGATCCAAAAAATCAGAGAGAAGAGTTGTAAGTTAAGTGGAAAACCATGACCCAAAGGTCTATTGAAGGATCAGCACGCCAAAGTGACCAAAAGCAGCTAATGAATGTGTGACCCGGGACCAGAAAACTGATGGATAATAAATTGAGAGGTGTCTTAAAACAGCCAAGGGAAGAGCCTGGGGTGTGACAGACACACAGCTGGATGTGTGAGACTATGGGACCAGGAGCTCAAGAGGCCCAGGGCAAAACGTGGATCAGCAACAAAATGGATTTGGTAGGTGAGCACATTAGGAGTACTCATATAAGAACTTTCCTGTTTGGGGATGCCTAGACCATGCTCTACCCTTGGGTTTAAAGATTCTGAGCAGCCAAATGTGAATGGTTTGCTCTGGATAAGTCCTTTTCATTACAGCCACGTGGAAGCATTTGAATTCACACTCCTGATTATCTGCTTCTGGTTGCTGTGTCTAAACCATGTCTGAACCAGCATAGCTCTGGTACTCTATACTCCAGCAAGGGTCTTGGTCCAGCATCACTGGCAGGGACACACCAGCGCTGTTCATAGGACTGGAATCAAACTCAGAAGTAAGATGTCTCAGGACCTCTGGGTTATAACAGGTTAGAAGCAATGCCTGTAGGCAGGGTTGTGGGATCCTGGCCTGGGTCCAGAAGCATATAAATCTGCAACAATTACCACTGGGTGGGCCTCAGTAAGAATTAATATAACTTTCAGCAACAAAGCTGCAAGAACTAGTGGTGGGGACTTTGTTCCTAAAGTGCAGTGTCCATGGTGCCAAGTGCTCGTGGGCAACCCAGAGCCACATCTGATGTAGGAAGACTTAATGGTCCTGAAATGGAATGTCTAGAAACTGTTAAGGAGCAGAAGGTCTATAAGCTGTTGCTTGGTTTAAGAGTTCTTATATAGTATCTTCTCTTTGTGGGACAAGGTCTAGCTTTCAAGGTGCCTCAGAATTAACAGGTGTTGGCCGGGGGTGGTGGCTAACGCTTGTAATCCCAGTACTTTGGGAGGCCGAGGTGGGTAGATCACCTGAGGTCAGGAGTTCGAGATCAGCCTGGTCAACATGATGAAACCTCATCTCTACTAAAAATACAAAAATTAAACAGGTGTAGTGGTGCCTGCCTGTAATCCCAGCTACTCGGGAAGCTGAGGCAGGAGAATCACTTGAACCCAGGAAGTGGAGGTTGCAGTGAGCCGAGATTGTACCACTGCACTCCAGCCTGGGCAGCAGAGCAAGATTCCATCTCAAAAAACAAAACAACAACAACAACCACAACAAGAACAGGTGTTAATGAGGAACTTGTAATTTTTGCAGGTGAGTAGAGAAAGTGAAAGAACAGAACTAAAAGTAACTGTGAAGAGTAAGTGTTGCGCCTCTACTCTTAAGCAATATTGTTTAAGAGGAGCTAGTATACGTAAAAATTCTTGAGTAAAACAAAGACACTGGCCAATTCTGTGAAATTCTGTTACCAAACCCCTGCCCCCTGAATGTTTCTAGTCTATGTGGTATTACTTGGAACCCACTTGAGAAAAGTTCCATTCCATAAATCCTGGAAGAGGCAGGAAGATAAGAAACGAATGAGTTTGAACTTGCAGAATCTGCTTGTTGGGGGTTCCGACTGAAAAATCAGTTATCAAATTGGTTGTTACAAACCAATTCACAGACTCAGGAGAAGCAATTTATCAACTGGCATAGAGTTGGAGGCATAGGAGAGGAAGCAAATTATCCCAAATTGTTCATCCACTGCAACATTATCTTCCTCTTTAAACTTTGCTATTGTAGCCAACTGTGTCATCATTTCCTACTGATGCAGGTTCGATGCCTCATGCTGTTCCACCTGCTTTCCCTAATTTCACAGTCCCCTCTTATACCCATCCTCACGGATCCAGTTCAAGAACCATCTCATCCATGAAGCCCATCAGCCCTTGGAGATCTTGTTTATAACTTCCACATTGTCAATGTCCAGCAGTGTTCTAAAAACAGCAAGTTCTCAAAACTATAGGCATTAGTTACTAACAACAGGCTGCGGTATGGGAATCCACACACAGGCAGCAGGCTCCCTTAATTCAGGGTCTACAGAACCACCTAGTCTTCCTCCCCACACATCACAGCTTAGGCCTGGGTCCCCAGGTTTATATTTTCTATCCTCCTCTTCCAGCAGAGGAGATACCCAAATGAATGGGGGTCTAAAGCACAGGACTAGAATGAAGCAAACCCAGCTCTTCTGTGAGGTGTAGGCATGTGAGAAGATCAGTATTGGTGGCCAACCCCTGATTCCTAAGGTGCTCCCACTGAGTCATCTGGGCCAGATCAGCCCCTCGGGCCAGCACTGCTCAGTAGTACCAGCATCCCACTGCCTTCTATACCATACCTCAGGCCCTGACTGTGAAGCAGGATGAAACTGTAAGCCTTCTTTTGGGGTCCTCCCAGAACAGCATGTCTCCCTGGGCACAGAGATACTCATTCCAGGAGATTCTGTTCCTCACTTCTCAATGGCATGATCCTCTGAGGCAGAATGTTGAGAACAAAGGAACAGGACTGCCACAATAAGCTAAGGTCTGGGCAGAGAAGAAATCCACACTTGCTGAGGAAAAAAAAAAAAAAAAAAAAAAAATCAAGAACAAGCAAGTACCAGAAGGCAACAGCCAGAAGTTCTTCAAAGTTGTGGAGAACAGCAAGGAAGATGGTCCAACAGTCCAGCAAAGAGTAATGAGGAGGGCCATGACATATAGGGAGGAGTGGCAAAGACTGAAAATAGGTGAGCAGCCAAATAACAGTGAGGCAGCTTCCTGGTTCTGGTTCAGCTCACTCACGTACCTCTCACCATGGGGTGAACCAATTCTCAGCTACCCTGGGGGGAAGGCTTGTTGAAGATGAGGCCTGAAGAAGCTGGCTGGCAGGGTAGTGGACTCTGGGATGGGATACCGGCAGGGGCATTTCCCCACCAGCTTCACCCTGGAGATGACTCCATGTTTGAGAACCTGTTACCTTTTTCCTCATACATGAGCTATTTTTCCTAGTTTCCTTTGAAAGATCAGACTGAAAGTCAAGTTTTCGTGGTGTAGGTTCACCCTTCAAAACACTTGAAATAACTTTCGCAGAAATCTTCTTCATGTTCAAGTTTTCTTTCAAAATGAGCCTAACAGTTTCTTTGTCTAAATTTAACTCTTCAGCCATCATCCTCACAGTTAACTGCCTGTTTGAACAAACCAAGTCCTTGACCTTCTGGATATTTTCATCTGTCCTGTGGGTGACTGGACGCCCACTTCGGGCGTCATCTCGAACATCTTCCCGTCCTTCTTTAAACCTTTTGTGCCAGTCAAAAACTCTGGCCCTTGACATGACTTCATCTCCATAAGCTTCTTTTAAAAGATGGTGGGTCTCACTTGCAGACTTATTCAATTTCACGCAAAATTTGATACTAATCCTTTGTTCTAAATAGCGGTCACTCATTCTGGCACTGAACAACACAGGAGCGTTAACAGGCCACGACTGTGACGTAAAGACAGATCAATCTCTATAGGGCGGTAGGTGTAATCATATCGCTATTCTTGCTTTTCTAGAAGCCTGGTGAGGAAAGAGTAATTGCTTTTCTGAGATTTTGTCTCTCAGCTTCCAGTCGAGACTAGGGAGATCCGTTCTGGGAAGGTAACAGGGCCAACAGTCGCTGCAAAGCTGGAAAAACTAAATCTACAACCACGTCTGCATCCAACCAGTGCATGCACATCTGCCGAGAGTTTGCCAATCAGTCACCAAGGTCGCCCCGATTCCGCGGCCCTTAAAGAGTATATGGCGATTTCTGCAAGAAAGACCTAAGTGGTGGCAACTTAAGCAAGCAAGGAGAGGTGCATAGGTGGTGCAACGTGCAAGCTTGCCCCAGATCTGCAGAAACCCGCGCACGCTAAACCTACCGGAGCAGCCCGAGGCTCGCCTACTTTAGTGTCCCGGGAGACAGGCGCGCATGCGCAATTCCCTTCCCCCGCGGACTAGACTGTGCGCAGTCGCACTGAGGCAGCGCGCGCCAAGTCCCGCCTCCGCCTCGTCACACCCCGGCAGGCGCGCTTCCTCGCGCGTGCCCGCCTGCGAGAAGGCGGAAAGGAAGGGCGGGGGAGGAAGGCTGAGGGAAGAGAGGGCACCCCTGGGCGTCAGGGTGCATTGTGGGAAGGAGGCGGCAGCGTCTCGGGCGGGCGGGAGGTGCACCAGCGGCGGCGGCGGCGGTAAATCCTCCCGGCCGCTCACAGCACTGTGGAGCCGCGTCCCCAGCCCGGCCTCGGACCGCGGCACCCCTCCTGGCCCTCGCGGCTTTCCGCCCGCCAGCCCCTCCCCCGCGCGCCGGCCCTACGGAGCCGGCCGGCCGGCCTGGCTCCCCTCCCCGGCCCCGACGGGCGGGCGGACTGCCCTGAGGAGGCGGGGAGGGGAGGGCTGGGCCGGCCGGCAGGCAGGCGACGATGCCGAACTTCTGCGCTGCCCCCAACTGCACGCGGAAGAGCACGCAGTCCGACCTGGCCTTCTTCAGGTTCCCGCGGGACCCGGCTAGGTGAGCGGCGGGCGCGGAGCGGGCGGCCCGGGCCCACCTCGGCAGTGAGCGCTGCCAGCCGCCGGCCCCAGGCGGGCTCCCGGGCTGAGAGGGGCGTGGGAGGGGGGCGCAGCGCCCTGCCGTCGACCCCAGCTTTGGACCGAGATGGGTAAGCGGCCGCGAGCCGTGGGCGGGCGGGCGTCCGGGCACCTCGGAGCACGTGCTCTGGCGGGGGCTCGGCGCAGAGGGCACCACCCCAAACGTGAGGGAGCTGGGGCTGCCCGCGGACGCGGGATGCGGGGGGTTCTCGCCGTGGCCCACTTGCTGTGTGACCTCGGGCGAGTCGTTTTCCTTTCTGGGCTTTAGTTTCCTTAGCTGTCAGAAGAGAGCAGGACTCTATGGTTGTGGCCACGGGGGCCCCTCCCTCTCCTGGCCACCACCCCCGGGACGGTGTTTCTGTTTTGATTCCCACTGCCGCCTTTCGTCACAACTACTCTCTCCTTCGGACTTGGCATTGCACGGTTCAAGGTTCATTTTCCGGCTGTTACCGTTACTCATTTTCTCACTTGGTTATTGTAGGTATAACGGGGTGTACGCGTGAGGGCGTGGAACTGGTATTGGAACTTCTTCCTTGAGATAACCTCCACACACTGACTTATATTTAGGGAGTGGTAGCGTAGGGACCATGTTTGAAAGGCCGAGATGTTTCATAGGCCTGTCTTGTTGGTTCATCCTTCAAAAATCAATGCCTACTATGTGCCGAGCTCAGATGTTAGGTGCTGGGAATTCATGGGCAAATAAGCGTGTCACTGATTGCAGAAAGCTCTCAGTCCATTAAGGGAACAGGTACAGCAACAGGGGATTATACTGTCGTATGTTACTTATTAATTAGTTCAATTAATTATTGAAGGTCTACTCTTTGCTTGGCATTATTGTGAGCAATGGGGGTTACAGATGAACCTGTCGAAGTCCTTTCTCATGAAGATTACATTCCTTTGGTGGTGGGGTGGGTCGGGAAATAAACAAAATACAAAGTGTGTCGGCTAATGATAAATACTGTGGGTATTTATCATCAGCAAAGGTTAGAGTGTAGGGGAATAAATAGTACCAAGGGACGCACAATTGCTATTTTAAATAGAGTGATTAGAGAAGGCCTCACTAAGAAGGTGAATTTGAGCAAACACCAGGTGAAGGGGCCAGCCATGGAGGTAACCTTGGGCAGCAGCATTCCAGGCTGGAAACAGTAAGTGCAAAGACAGGGCAGCCAGGAGTCCAGGGGGAGGGACTGGGAGAGAGGTAAGATGAAACCAGAAAGGTGAGTGTATGGTAGGGGCAAATTCTGTAGGGTAGGGCATTGTAGGTCTTGGAAGGTGCTGTGGTTTTTATTCTGAGTGAAATAGCAAGTCATTGAAGGGTTTAGAGAAGAGACTTAAATTTTAGCAGGCTCAGTGGCTGCTCGTTAGGTCGATTGTAGGGAGGCAAAGGTGAAAGCCGGAAGACTAGTTAAAAGGCTGTTGCAGTAATTCAGATTGGTAGAGGAGGAGGTGGCAGATTTGAGATACGGTTTGAAGGTGAAGTCAACAGGTTTTGCTGATGGTTTGGAGGTGGCTGGTATAAAAAAAAAAAAGAGAGAGAGAGAAGTCAAGGACGACTTCCAGATTTTAAAAATCTATGTTGGCAGGGTTGGTTTGAACTCCTGGCTTCAAGCAAACCTCCTGCCTCGGTCTCCCAAAGTGCTAGAACATGTTCGAGCCACCGCACCCAGCCAATTTCAAGAATTTTAACGTGAGCATTTGCTAAGATAGGGAAGACTGGGAAGAGCAGGTTTGGGTTTGAGAGGCCTGATAGATATTTCAGAATAGATGTCTAGGCCAGCACATGGTGGTTCATGCCTGTAATCCCAGCACTTTGGAAGGCTGAAACAGGTGGATCACTTGAGGTCAGTAGTTCAAGACCAGCCTGACCAATGTAGTGAAACCCTGTCTCTACCAAAAATTAGCCGCGTGCAGTGGCTCATGCCTGCAATCCTAGCACTTTGGGAGGCCCAGGCATGATATCTGAGGTCAGGAGTTCGAGACCAGACCAACCAACATGGAGAAACCCCGTCTCTACTAAAATGTGGTAGCACTTGCATGGCACATGCAACTTGGGAGGCTGAGGCAGGAGAATCGCTTGAACCTGGAAGGCGGAGGTTGTGGTGAGCCGGGATCATGCCACTGCACTCCAGCCTGTGCAACAATAGCAAAACTGTCTCAAAAAAAAAAAAAAAAAAAAAAAATTAGCCAGACATGGTCGTGCATGCCTGTAGTCCCAGCTGCTTGGTAGGCTGAGACATGAGAATTGCTTTAACCCAAGAGGCGGAGGTTACAGTGACCTGGGATTGTGCCACTGTACTCCAGCCTGGGGGACAGAGTGAGATTCTGTCTTAAAAAAGAAAAAAGGAAAAAAAAAGGAAGTCTTTCATCATACCATATACAGAAATGAACTCCAAATGACCTATACTTTTGTTTAGATCAAGGCCTAACTATAAGAGCTATACCATTCAACTTTTGGAAAAAAAAATACAGATAAATCTTCATAACTTTAGATTTGGCAGCACATTCTAGTTTGTGTTTTGTTTTCTGAGAGTCTCACTCTCTTGCCCAGGCTGGTGTGCAGTGGCACAATCTCGGCTTACTGCAACCTCCGCTGCCTGGATTCAAGAGATTTTACTGACTCAGCCTCCCAAGTAGCTGGGATTACAGATGCCCACCACCACGCATTGCTAATTTTTGTATTTCTTTAGTAGAGATGGAGTTTTGCCATGTTGGCCAGGCTAGTCTCCTGACCTCAGGTGATCTGCCCGCCTTGGCCTCCCAAAGTACTGGGATTACAGGTGTGAGCCATCATGCCTATCTGGTAGCACATTCTTAGATATGATCAAATTACATGAAATAAAAAGAAAGATAGACTAATTGGACTTCATCAAAATTAAACTTTTGTGTATCAAAGGACATTACCAAGAAAGTGAAAAGAATGGAAGAAAGTACTTGCAAGTAATTCAACTGATGAGGGCCTAGTATCCAGAGTATATAAAGAACTCTTACTGGCTGCCTTGGTTGTCTAAAATAAAATTAAAACAAAAACAAAAACAAAAACTCTTACGATTCAGCAACAAAAAGACAACCCAATTTAAAAATAGGCAAAGAACTTCTTTCCTTAAAGGAAAGATACAAGTGGCTAACAAGTACATGAAAGATGAAGCAGTTCTCTTGCCTCAGCCTCTCGAGTAGCTGGGACTACAGGTTCGTGCCGCCACAGCCAGCTAATTTTGTATTTTTTTTTTTTTTTTTTTTTTGGAGACTGAGTTTCACTCTTGTTACCCAGGCTGGAGTGCAATGGTGCGATCTTGGCTCGCCGCAACCTCCGCCTCCTGGGTTCAGACAATTCTCCTGCCTCAGCCTCCTGAGTAACTGGGATTACAGGCACGGGCCACCATGCCCAGCTGATTTTTTGTATTTTTAGTGGGGTCGGGATTTCATCATGTTGACCAGGATGGTCTCGATCTCTTGACCTCGTGATCCACCTGCCTTGGCCTCCCAAAGTGCTGGGATTACAGGCTTGAGCCACCGTGCCCGGCCCTAATTTTGTAGTTTTTAGTGGAGACATGCTTTCACCATATTGGCCAGGATGGTCTTGATCTCTTGACCTTGGAATCCGCCTTCCTTGGCCTCCCAAAGTGCTGGGATTACAGGAGTGAGTCACCTCGCCTGGCCAGGAATTTCTTTTTAAAAGGTTGTTTATTGAGATGCAATTCACATACCATATAATTCACCGATTTAAAATATACAATTTGGGACATATACATTAACTTAAAATTTTGCTTCAATACATACAACAAAATGTGCTATATTAACTATTACGTATACAATTCAGTGGCATTCGTTACAGTCACAGTGTTGTACAACCATCTCCACTATTTCCAAAACCTTTTCGTTATCCCAAACAAAAACTGTAACCATTAGGCAATAACCTCCCATTCCCCTGCCCTCTCAGCCTTTGATAACCTCAAATCCACTTTCAGTCTTTATAAATTTGCCTGTTCTAGGTTCTTGTAAGTTGAATCATACAATATTTTTCCTTTTATTTCTGGCTTGTTTACATAATATGTTCAAGGTCTTTTTATCCAACTTAAATCTACTCGTACCACATGATTTCAAGTTCTACTATATTTTATAGTTTCCTTTTCACTGTCCCCGGAGTTATAACAAAGAAGTAGTTTCCAGAGATGTTATTGAATTAATAACAGTATTTTTAGGGTTATTAGTTTTAACCCCTCCCATTTCTTCTGTAAACAGGTTGTAGGGAAGGTTGATAAAAGGGGACATTGCCAGTCTAGTCTTCAAATACTAGCTAACATTGTTAACTAACAATAAAGATGAACATATTTAATGCTATTAAAACAGTATATTTCCCAGTCATCAGTTATAAATTCCATGCACCCTTTTAGAAACAGCTATTTAGAAATAATTTAAACTTCTAGAGTGTAATTAATGAAGTGTATGGTGCGGCGTTTACATAACATAATAGTTTTTATTGTTTTAGAAAAAGTGGGATTAATATGCTTCTTTTTTAAAAAGGTGAAATTATTAACCCAGCTTAGGTCAGTGACAGGGTTTAAGTAAACAAAACAAAACAAAACAAAACAAAACACTGCCGGAGGTTGCAGTGAGCCAAGATCAAACCACTGCACTCCAACAAGAGTGGGACTCCATCTCAAGAAAAAAGAAACATTGCCTATACTGCCTAAATCTTGATTGCCCCTGGGTGGCTTGCCTAATGCCAAGTCTTGCCACTGTGAGGCAGCTCACAGTGGAGCTCTTCCCTAAACCGGAAGGTACGGGTAGAGGTAATGAATTGCTCTGATTAGAGATAGTTGCTCTCTGCTTCCTCCTCAGGCAGCTAGCTAGTGCTCACTCACCCAAGATGGGTGAGGCTTCCAAGGTTCTTCTGGCAGTTTAATCCAGGCCGATTGAGGGTTG